GCAAGTGCATGTTTGTGCATGGGAGGGGTCTGTTCTCAAGCCAGAGGTTGATGTTGGGTGTCTGCCTTAATCACTCTCCACCTTATTTTTTGAGACAGCATTTCTCACTGAACCTGGAGCTAGCCTATTGGGCTAGTTTAGCTGGCCAGCAAGCCCCAGGGATCTTCCTGTCACCATCCTTCTAGTATTGGGATTATGTCATAGTGTTTGGCTTTTACATAAATGCTGGGGATCTGAATTCAGTTCTTATGTTTGCACAACAGGCAACTGAGCCATCTCCCCAGCCTTCCTCACCCCATTTTCTGAATGAGGACACAGGCCCTGGAAACCTAGTGCTTTGTTCAAGGTGGTAGTGAAGGACGAGGAGCTAGCCATATTTTTAGATAGGCAGACAGATAGGGAAAGGGCCATTGATAAATAATAGAGATGATATACTTCTGTCTTCTTGGTCTGAAACAAAGGTCTGGGAGCTCCCTCTCTAGCCAGCAAGGTTCTCTTCTGGCCAACTAGTTCAAACTATTCCAGGTAAGATCCTGGATCTGAACATCTTATAACTTGAAGCCACAAACTTATCAGCCTTCTCTTTGTTTAAACTGACCAACCCAACATTAGGGGAGGGGAACACCCTAAAACTCTTAAAAGCATAGATATTCCATAGGATTTTGGGTTTTGGTTTCCCAAATCCCGTTTCCACTTGTGGAGAGATTTTTCTGTGTGAAAGTCTATAGTACATGAATCTCCATCATTCAATAAAAGTCCATCATTTTCAGCTGGTTTGAGATTTTTTTCATGCCTTTTAATTTTTGATGGAGCAAATGAACCTGACCCCTAAACAGAGACCATCCTGAAACTCATGGTGGTAACAATAGATGTCAGCAGAAGTTTGGCTCCCAAGCCCTCAGCCTTTACCACTGCACTATGTGGGTGTCACAGAGGGTGGTCAGACTGTTAGAGAGGCAAAGACTCATTTCGACAAGTTGGTGAGGACAGAGTCAGGATCACTGGCTTGGGTAATACTGTGATGGTTGGGGACACTTCCATTACTGTTTTGGTGAAATGGATGGGTGTAGCATGGAGTAAACCACAGCTAGTTGCTGCTTTGCTGTAAAAAAGACAAGAGCAGAGGGTAGGCTGTAGAATCTGCAGATTCAGAAGCCCAGCAGCTTATCTCCCAGGGAGGGTGAAAGTAGTTTTGTGAGACAGACAGTCTGTAGCAGCGACACAGGGGTCAGCCTGGTCCTTCAGAGCTGCAGCAGACATGGGCAGATCTCATATTTGCTCATGACACAGAGCAATGGCCACAGGTCGAGTCATGCAGTGACATGCCACCAGCCTCTATGTGCTCCTGCCCACAGTGCCAGCCTCCAGGCAAGCAGACAGGTAGGCTGGTATAGGAACAGGAACTCTGCAGTACCCCAATGTGGTATGTACTTGACTAGGCAGCTGGCATGGGAAAACAGATTTGATTTTGAATACTATGCCCATATACTTTTGGGGCTTTTAAAAGAAATAATTTAAGAGCTTCTATTTTTAAAATAGGAAAATTTATCATTAAATTTTTATGTTTTCATATTTTTAGACTTTATTAAAATAATTTTTCTTGTGATCATTATTTTTAAATCAGAAAGTGATTTGGAGAGAATTCTTATAGATGACTTGCTCACTTAAAGTCAACTTTTTGAACACAGAAAGCCACTACCCTTACCCCATTAAAACAACAACAACAACACAACGTCTTTTGAAGTTCTACTTTAAATTTTTATGTTTTCATATTTTTAGACTTTATTAAAATAATTTTTCTTGTGATCATTATTTTTAAATCAGAAAGTGATTTGGAGAGAATTCTTATAGATGACTTGCTCACTTAAAGTCAACTTTTTGAACACAGAAAGCCACTACCCTTACCCCATTAAAACAACAACAACAACACAACGTCTTTTGAAGTTCTACTTTATAAAAATTGGAAAGGAATTGAGGTGGGAGGATGTTTTCCATGCATATGGTGATAAAGGGAAGGTGGGCATCCTCACAGAAAGGGGTGAAGTACAACAGAACACTGAAAGCAAACCTTAAGAAAATTTCTACTGAAAATTAAGACTGCAGCCTAGTCCATGTACTTTACTGTTGTCGTGGTTTAAGTGGGAATGTCCCCATAAGCTCTAAGTAAGCATTTGAATACTTGGGAGGGTCATGGAACATTTAGAAGGTGTGGTCATGCTGGAGGAAGCATGTCACTGGGGGTGGGCTTTGGGACTATATTGCTTGCCCACTTCCATTCTGGCTCTGCTTCCTGTGCCTGTTTGAAGAAGTGAACACTCAGCTTTCTGCTCTAGCCACCGATATATCTGCTACCATGCCGACCGACTACAATGGACTCTTGCCCCCTGGAACTGTAAGCCAAATAAACTCTTCCTTTTATAAGTTCCCTTGGTCATGGTTGGGTTTTTTTTTATGATTATTATAAATTTATTATTTAATAATCAAAGAGGTAAAAACCAGAGATGGTCATGTGAGAAAACAACAAGACAGCAATCTGAATGCCAAGGAGAGAGAGGCATCTGGAGAAACTGCCAACACAATGCTTTTGATTTGCTAGAGTCTAGAATTGTGAAAAGTTAATTTTATATTGTTTAAAATACAGAAATAACCAAATGTCCACTCATATATTCTATTTCTCCTTCAGGACATCCTGATAGTATTTATCTATCATAAAGTATGTTCATTTCATCTGAATTGTCAAACACATTACCAGAGAATGCCTGTTCTGGCTTCCCTCTGGCAAAGGGGCTGAGAACTCAGGGGACTGCCTGAGAATGCCTGGATCCTGCCTCCATGTGGTGGTGAGCTTCCCCAAATCATGCCATATCCAACCCCCTAACTGGGATTATGAGAGGTCATGGTGTTTTATCACAACAACTGAAAATAACAATTACAACTATGAATCCAGGAACTATGGGTAAAGCTTACTGACCTTTGTGGGTGACTACAGGATGTGATGCTACTCCAGCTTGTAGCTATACCTCTATTACCTAGATCTGTTCCTGGTCCACAATAGTGACTACTATAAGGAATTAAGAAAGGGTGTAAAAATCGCTAGTGATATAAAACATTCAAAACAAAAATTAAGAAAAACCATTCCAGGGGCTAGAGAGATGGCTCAGTGGTTAAGAACACTTGTTCTTCCAGAGGACCTGAGTTCAGTTCCTAGCACCAAAATTAGGTCCTCTGGAAGTCAGGTGGCTTGCAGCCTTCTATAACTTCAGCTTCAGGGGATTTAATGCCCACTTCTGACCTCCGAGATCAAACACATGTGACATATACAGACACACACATATGTATAAATAAAAATAAAAGTAAATCTTAAAAAAAAACCATTCCATTTATAATAGCACCAAAAAGAATAAATTACTTAGGAACAAGTTCAGCCAAGGCATACTGAAAGCTATAAAAAAAAATATTGCTAAACAGTTAAAGAAAAGCTAAACAAAAGGGAACGCAGCCTAGGGTAGATTAGAAGATTTAATATTGTTAGGATTGTAGCATGCCCCAAATTGATTTACTCACTATCAAAATTCAAACACATTTTAAAAAATAGGAAATGCACAAGTTCATCCTAAAATTCATATAAATTTGCAAGGGATTCAGAATGACCAAAACAATTATGAAAAAAAAGGACAAGTTTGGAGGACTTTGAAATTTACATAACAATGCAATTGACAGAATTGAAAGTTCAGAAAAAAAAATCCCTGTGCCCATCACCAAGGGATTTGACAAGGGTGCCTATATCATATGATGGGAAAAGATGACTCTCTTCAATACATGATACTCAGGCAACTGGATAACCTCATGCAAAAGAATGAATTTGGCTGCTTACCTCACAACATACACATGAACTAACACAGATTAAAGACCTAAATGTAAGAGCTAAAACTAAAAAAAACCTTAAAGGGAACACAGGAATGAATCTTTGTGACACTTAGTTAATCAATGATTTCTTAAATATGGTACCAAAAGAAAGAACAAGAAAAAAAATAACTGGACCTCATTAAAAAGTTTTATGTAGGAAAGAAAGGATCCCATCACTCAAGTGGACATAACCCACAGAATGGAAAAAATATTTTCGAATCATATATATGAGAAAAACGCTACAATTCAACAACAGAAAAGCAAGTAATGTAATCTTTAAAATGGGCAAAGGACTTGGAATATATGCAAATGAGCAACGAGAGCATGAAAAGATCTTCAACTTTCTTAGTCACCAGGGAAATGCAAGTCAAGTCCACAGACACTGCTTCACACCCATGAGGCTGGTTATTACCAAGAAGAAAAGTAAGTAACAAGTGCCAGGGAAGACGTGGAGAAAGTGGGCTCCCATACACTGCCAAGGGCAAAATAGTACCAGTTTGGCCGCACCTCACAAAGTCAAACATATCATTCCCATATGAGCCAGCAATTCCATTCCCAATTATAGAACTAAGAGGAACAAAACATAAGTCCACACATGTGAATGGTCATGAATGTTCTAGCAGGGTGGCTAGAGAGTGAAAATAACCAGTTTCTACCAGCCAATGAGTGACCAACTATGCACGGTCTGCATATACAATGGAATACTGTTTGGTCATGAAAGCAATGAAGCCTAATGTATACTGCACCATAGACGAACCTGGAAAACAATGTTGAGTAAAAGGATCCACATATTGTATGATTCTATTTATATAAAATATCCAGAATACATGAATTCATAGAGACTGGAAGTAGATTGGGAGTTGCCAGAGGGTGGAGGGGACAGAGGAATGGGAGCGATATGTTCTATAATTAGATAGTAGGGATGGTTGCATGATATCATGAATATTCAAAAACTACTGAATTTCAAAATGATTATGATGGTGAATTTTATCTCCACAAAACAAAGACTTACTAGCAACACTTGCTTAAATAAAGGCCCAGTGAAGAAAGGGTTGAAATATAAAAGGTGTCATGAATTGCCAAGAGCCACTGACCTTGTTTCTCCGGGTTTCGGACCTGGGACGGCAGGTCTTGGATTTCCAAGGTCCATTCCCCCTCGGCCTTTTCTCCCCAGCAGTGCACGGTCATGAATTCCCAGTTTGTAAATCCCTCATTAGAAAAATCCAGCAATCTGCAATTGGAGATGCAGCATTATAAAGTGAAGGCCCTGCTTGAGGAACCAGGCGAAGGAACAGCTCAGGGAAGGCTCTAGTTCACTGTCCTGCAGGTGGGAGTGGGTATTCTCCTACCATGTGGGCCCTAGGGAAATGAATTCAGGTCATCAGGCTTGTCTGTAAGCATCCTTCCTTATCTGCTGTGTCATCTCACCATCTCTGATTTGAACTTCTCACCAGCTCTGGTTTGAACTTTACACCTGAGGTTCATCTCTATTATCTCACTGGACCTCCCTAACATTCAGAGATGCAGGAGGCCTCCAGTGCCCAATAAAAGACAGGAACTGGTCCACATGGTCTCCCCTCTCATCCTAATTCACAAAGGAGGGATCCCAGGGGCACTAGTTTGCTACAAGCACAGCCTCCGGTAAGCAGCTGAGGTGGGACTCCACCTGGGCATCTGGATCACCAATGAACACTTTCAATGCCACCATTTCCCTGCAGAAGACTTTGTTCCCACCCAGTAACCATCAGTTTATGTCCCACTACCTGATACACAAAATCAGACAGAGGCCAGGGCCTATGACCTGCCAAAGCCAACGGGATGTTCACAAAGAAAGCCTTTTAAAAATGTGTGTTTGTGCAACGAATGAAATGTCCACATTTGTCTTGGAGCCAGCACTATGCACTGTCACCACAGATACAGAAAAGCAAATAACCACGTGTCTCCCTGAACCTTCAGGCCTGAATCAGCTTCAATTGTTACACTGTGGGCCATGGCGAGGACAGGCAGGTGTGTGTGGGCGTCCCTAAGAGAGGCATCAGGAAGCAGAGGAAAAGGAGGCTCCCTGCACTCACTCCAGTGGAGCCCCCCCTTGGAGGTTTGATGAGCCTCCCTTTTCCTTCCAGATTAGGTCTTCCCACAACTGTCTCTACCAGCTCCTGGGCGTTCAGGCTCCTCCATTTATCATACTTAGACGGAGCAGAAACAGAAGTAACTCTTAACACCCTCTCTTCCCAGCTCTATCCCAGTCCCCCTCAGTCTTCTGCCTTAGCAGAAAATTCCAGGCTCTCTTTCCTTCTTTCTTCATAAACTAATTTTCTCTTCTCCTTTTGGCACAGGGGATTGAACCCAGGACCTTGTGCACAGTAGAGACGTACTGTACCACTGAGCTACATCCCCACCCCTCTTAAACTAAGCTTCTCTATTTTGGAATAAGAATTTTCACGTGGTGGCAGATCCTGGGGGGTTTATACTGAGTTCAATATTGTATGAATATATTAATTCAGCTGTGAACCTAAAAATTTACAGCTACCTTTGACAGAGATGTATCCTTGCTCTGGAATGTGTTATTGAATATGTTAAAGCTGCAATGAAATGCTTCTTCTAATCATGTGGTTGTTAAATTTTAAAAATTTTTTTAAAAATAAAATAAACTTAAAAAAAAAAGAATTTTCACGTGGTGGCAGACGCCTTTAATCCCAGCACTCAGGAGGCAGAGGCAGGCAGATCTCTGAGAGTTCAAGGCCAGCCTGGTCTACATAGTGAGTGTTCCAGGCCAACTGGGGCTATAGGGAGACCCTGTCTCAAAAAAGACAAAAAAACAACAAAAAAAGATTTTTGCATATAGAACCAAACTCTTATACTATTCATCAGAAATTCAAATATGTAAGTTCTGTGTGATATCAGATTCCACTCTGGTGTGGGGGCTCTCTGCCCACTGAAAATGTCAGAAGTTGTTTCAGAAAACAGTCTTTGCAGGGATAATAGCACTAAGAATTAGTGCTAAGAAACTGCCAAGGTCAAGGTTGATTTTCACACAAAGCCAAGTGGAACCTGACACACTGGGAAGAAAACAAGGACAAATTGTCTTCTAAGTGCTAAGGCCCTTAAGAATGGCAACTTTTAGTGAAAAAAAAAAAAAACTGGCAACCTGAAAAGCTGAGTCAAAAAAGATGTGAAGGTAACAGATCCCAAAACCAAAGTCTTGATACAGAATCTGCCTTGGGAAAAAAAAATCCCAAATTCCCAAGACTTAGATGACTGCCAGCTGGCCTCTGGCCAGTACTTTAAAGTGATTGCAGGTACTCCCCAGCAACTGAAGAACTCCAAATAAATGCACAAGACCTGTTCCCAGTCCCAGGGGCCTCAAACAGTAGGTCAGAGACAGAGATGGATGAAGGTCAGGTCAGAAGGGAAGGAAAACAGAGGTGGCAGTGGGCATGTGGGTGCTAGAAGGTTCTTGTAGGTCAGATGGCTGAATTGACTTCAGCAGGAAATGAAGAACAGCCAGCATTCTTATCTATACTAACATACTTGGTTCTTGTACTATTCTTAATATTTAGAAATGAGTGGCTGGCATGTCCAGAGGTGAGGAATAGAGAGGTCAAGTGACTGGCTCCCAGGAGGAGCCTGGCTCAGAGGCTGGAGCATGAGCTTGCCTCTCCAGGCTCTAGAGCACATGTCCTATAATCACTGCATCTCTCCTGCTGTCACTGGTCCCCAGCCCCAGCCACTAAGCCTCATTGAGGCCTGTCTGTATACCTAGACCCTCACCCAGCAGGCAAGTTCCACCTCTGAGTCACAAGTTACAAAGTCAGATGCTTCAAGGTGTCAGTGTAGCTCGGAGCAGTCAGCAGCAGGGAGCATGAAGCAGACTTGCCCTCTGTGTAGCTCCAGCCAGGCTGTGCTGGCAAAGTAAATCCCATGAGGGTGAGCATCCAAGTTTTCAACAAATGCTAGAAATGTAGATTTTTAGATAAATTTTTTAAAAATCTGAGCACTAAGTTGCTTCAACCTTCAGTTCACTGACTGGCACCTCCAAACTGTTTGTGCCCCAGAAGGCTCCCCTGTGTGGAGGCTTAGCGTGGCTGAATTGGCCTTTAGGAGGGGAGATGTTTCCATGTTGCTCTTTCTGCTAGGCAAAGTAGATTCTGAGGTAGGGTGGGGCTTCTGGAACCCGTCCATCACGGTTTGCTCTCAGGGTTGATTCCAGTGCACTGAGGATAAAGCTGATACCAGGGCTATCACCTTCTACTCACTGCCCCATCTGTGGGCTGCTGGCCCTGGAAGCTGGGTAGAGGGGTGGAGGACATAGTACAGACACCCTCTCCATTGGACAATAGCCCTGGTAACCTTTCATTGCAGTCTTATACAAAGCAGGAACAGCTTTGTCTTATACAAGAGGAGCAGAATGGGTTAAGAAAAAGGGTGGATGGATCTTGCCTCACCCTGTTTGAGAGTTTTTCCTCAATACCCTGCTTCCCAATCTCTCAGGCTCCCTAGAGCCCAGATTAGGGCTACCTCGTAACAGGTGCTTCCTCATGGGCTGTGGGACACAGATGCCAGTTCTGGAAATATTGATTTGCCTATGATACCTTCCCTTTCCTCCCTCTGCCTCTTAGCTAGAGATAATAGGCTCCCTGGTTCTCCGCTCATATGCCCAGATTCGCATAAACCCCTTCACCCTATTTGCCTGCAAACTATGTAAGTATATCCAAGCACTTGCCTTCATTTCTAGGTTTGTGGAAGATATGATTCCACAGCACAGCCTTCCATAAATCCTGCAGGAATCTAAGGAAGCTCTAGAGAGCCCAAGTCTGAGCATTGGAGTCTGTGGTCCTTCCTATGTAAGACTAAGGCTCAGGTGCCCAGTACTGAACTTGTCCTTCCTCCACAGAAGCAACTCCATAGGCATGCTTGAGTCTTTAGGGGAGAAGACTGAATAGAACATTCTGGAAACCTTCCTTGCACCCCACCAAGTCCATGCCTGGCCATTCGAGGGCAGTCTACAACCAGATGGGGGATGGTCCCATGGACAAACAATGCTCCTTGGGGTACTTTTACCTCAGTGCCACCTGAATGGTAGTCATGATCTTCAATGTACTTCCAAGAGCAATGAGGACGTAGCCTGAATCCACTCCTGCCCCAATAACCAAACAGAACAAGCAACAACTCCTTGTTCATATCTTCTGGAAGATGGAAGTTTTCCAGGTCTGGGAAAGGACTCAGGACTGAAAGATCTGCTTCTCAGGGTTGTGGGTCCATATGAGAGGTCTCCAGGAAGAAAGAGACTGCCTATAGACCTAATGAGGATCTCTACTTCCTTGTGCAGGGTACCTTATAGAGGTCCAAAATGGACAGCCCTGTCATATGGAGCAAATCCCTGGAAGAGTGGCCTTACCTCTTTGCCAAAAGTTGTGACTTGGTTCCTGAGGGAGAAATCAGGTGGATCTGGAGATCTCCCCGGCGTGGATGTGAGATGGAGACTCGGACCACCACATGTTCCAGGTAAACCACACGCTGGTCTGAGTGGTCTGCACAGGCATTGGTCAGAGCTGTGGTCCGAAGCACCTGTGCTATAGGGATGCTCCTGTGGAGGAAGGACAAGTTCAGTACTGGGCACCTGAGTCTCAGTCTCACATAGGAAGGACCACAGACTCCAGTGGCCAAGTCTGGTCCTTGCCTGTTGTGGCATCTGAGTTCTGAGGGTCCCTAGAGAGTCACAGAGTCCTTAGGGAGCCACAGAGGATGCTGAATTATGACTACCTTTTCAGAAAACTTTATAGTTGCAGAATTTGTCTATGGATCCTCATGTAAACTTGAGCCAGTGTATCCAGGAACTTGCCCTTTGGCACTCAGGAGGTAACTTTCTCTAAGGAGCAAATAGCCAGCTCACTTCCTCAATGGCCTGGTATCTCCAAAGGTTTTAACATCCCACTATTTTGTTTCAAAGACTAGACTTGAAGACAGATATCATGCTGAACAACAATGGCAAATTATTTCCTAGCAGAACAACTAGCATGAGGCACTCACTGGTGGGAAAGCTTATAAGGATTAATCCAGTCCAACCAGGAAGAAAGACTGCACTCAAGACCACACAGCTACCAAGAGATGGAATTGGAATTTGAGACTCCAACCCTCTGCCTCAATCTCTATGTCAAGTCACTTTGCAGAGATGTTTGTGTGGAGCCACATCAGGGGACCAAAGCTGCTGGAACTGGTCTATTCCTGGCTGTCCTGCCAACCCCTTGCCCCAAGAAAGAAGCAGATGGTGGTACCTTCATAACCTAAGGACACTTCTATCAAAGGGGACAGACTCTAAGGACAAGCACAGTTCTAGTCACTCAAGAGTCATTTCCATCAGTTTTCAGAATCACAAAGTAGATACAAGCTCTGTGCCCAAAAGCTGCTTTAACGGCTCAAGTCTTAAAAAGCCTGGTCCCCTCCCAACAATCAGTATGGTAGACTCGACTGCCACTCAGCAGCACATTAGTAATTCTCTACCACATGGCTCGAGCTGGGTTTTCTACAGGAGTGCCTTTCCCATTGTGCAGTACTTCACTCTGGGGAGACTCAGGACGTATGCTTGGTATCTCTTAGGAATTGTATGGCTGGGCCCTACTGGGCCTGAGTCATAAGAAAGCATTCAAAACAGAAACAGTGATGTAATTCCCCTGAGACTCTGTAAATATCTGAAAACATGCTTTCCATGCACCATAAACTGATTTAGAGGTGCTGGCTTCTTTCATTGCTTTCTCCAAGTTTTACTGTCTGGGTTTACTGGTCAAGGGCCCCACAACTGTGGCAGATGCAGAACACAGTGGAAAGTTCCGGAGAGGCCCACATACACCTCCAGGTAAAGTGCTTTCTGCACCACCCCACCTATGCGTCTAAGGTGCAAACTGGTTGTGTTGGTGACAAGAGGCTCCTTAGTGTAGGTAGAGAAACAGAGTCACTAATGGTCCCCTAGAGCTTAGAAATATGGTGCCCCCCCCCAAGCCCTGAAATGGCCTCATTTCTAGCACTTTTCCAGGGTAGAATAGCAAGATCAAGGCAAGAAAGAAACAAAAGCAAGTTTCAAGCAAGTTTAAGAACACCATCCCCACCCCAGCCTTTTGCTAACTGGCAGAAGGAGCAATCACCACACTCTAGAAACAGACCTAGAATCCTACTGAGGAAACCTGAATCCCACTGATAAGACACAGGGTTTAAGTGAACAGGAGCAGGGGAGAGTCAGCCAAATCCCAAATGCCTCGCTCACTGTCTGGCTCTGGCCCAGAGCCTCTGCACCTAGAGGAAAACCACATCTTATTTAAGACACTTGGCATCACTTGCCTCTGACTTGATGTGACTGACTTCCACTAAGGGACTCCAGCTGCTGGGAGAGAAAGCTGGGCTGGTGTACCCCACAGGGAGCCATTCTGCTGCTGCATCATGATGGCAGGCTGGTGGGCAACTTGGCCCCTGCAGGAATTAATGGCATCTCCTACCTTGGTCAAAATATTACTCTCCTTTAGGAATGGGGACCAGTCTGCCTGGGGAGCAAGGCTAACTGTAACAATTCATTTTTATGTGAAATCTCTTAACTGTGAAATCACTCAGTACCAGGACACCTTATTTCTGAAAATTCTGGGGCAGAGCTGGGAGCCAGACACTAGGTGCTGCAAGGACAGTAAAGCAAGTTGTCCTCTTCTTACCGTTATCCCTCCCACTACTTAGCTGAAACAAATAACCTAACATCCAAAATGAGGGGCCTTTAAATTTCTTTATGAAAAGAAAAAGAAGGAAGGTTTGAAATGGGTCATGACAACCAAACTTATAACTGTCCTATGTTTCAAACAGAAACTCCAAGAAATCATGAAGCTAAGTATCAAAAGCCATCACTTTTAAGATTTGCTTAACTCCAAGACAGAAAGCAAAACAGTTAATGAAAAGGATAGAGATTTTTCTTTAATGGAAATGATTGCCTATTCTGCAACCATTGCAAAGATAATACAGAAAATACAAGTAGACTGCAATTTATTTTTAAAGTTTAACAACACACAGGGATTACCTTTCTCACATCAGTACAGTTTAACTGTACTTTAATCATGAAAATTGATTTTGAAATATCTTAAAGTTCCCTAGATAACTGAAAATGTTTTTCTGTAATTAAATTCTGAAGTTGTTGTCTTGTGCACAGCCATCTTCCAAGAGCCACAGCAGAACTTAAGGAGTTAAAGGATCCCACAGGACCTGCCTCTGCTTAAGCTAGGGACACTGGGAACTTGGATGAGATCCTTAATGACTGAAAAATGCCATTTCACATGGAACCACACTTCAGAACTAATTATTCATCCTCCAGATGGTCTCTGCATATCCTCAAGTTTCTGGGCCACTCCCTTCCCAGGAGGCAGAGAGCCAAGAGACAGTGGCCCTTATCACAGTCAGAGGCATCTCCACCCAGGTCATGAGTACCTGGCCTCCTAATTTTCCCCTAATTTCCTGAGATTCTTAGGGTAGCAAAGTAACATTAAAAGTCAACAGTGGGGCTGAAGAGATGGCTCAGTGGTTAAGAACTCTGGTTGCTCTTGCAGAAGACCGGGGTTTGAATCCCAGCACCCACATGGGAGCTAACAACTGTCCGTAACTCCAGTCCCAGGGGATCCGACAGCCTCTTCTGTCCTCTGCGGGCATTGCGCGACATGGGTGCACTTACCTACATGTAGGCAATACACGATACACATAAAAAAATAATAATAAAATTTTTTTTAAAGTCAACAGTAAATGTTTTCAAGTAAACAAGTGACAAGGAAGAACAGAAGAGGCTCAGGCTGAAACCGGCTATTGCTGGTGCCTCCCCACTCTCCAGTTAATCTCCCTGCTCTAGCCAAGACGGCATTACAAGCCAGGACTTCTAGTTCCACCCTGAAGACCTTAGTCCAACTCAGCTTCACCAGCAGACCTATGTATTTGCACTGCCAGACCCTTTGACACTGCAGGGCTGGGGGCAAGAGCTGGGCAGGCCTTGTTTTTCGTGAGCCAATTCTGAGACCATGTTAGAACAGCCAGGAGAATCAGGAGGAAGCAGTTCTTGCCTCTGATGTATGCATATGGCTGGGGGATGAGGGGTAGCTGACCAGCTGAGGCCCACTATAACAGAAGCTTGTCCATGTATTAAGTTCAACCATAGAAAAGCAAATCAGTGAGCTGTCTCCTGGATCTATGTTCTAGAATGAATGTTATTCATAAAACGGTCTGAGGTAAAGATCATTTTGTTAATCTGGGGATTTTCTTTCTTGTATATATGATATGCATATATACTGGGGATGTTGAGAAAGGGTCTCATAACTCAGACTGGCCTTGGACTCACTAGGAAGCTAAAGATGACCTTGAACGCCTGATCTTCCTGCTTCTACCTCTTGAGAACTGGGATTATAAATATGTACCACTATGCCCATTTAGGTGAAATTACTTTTGAATCAAACCATGGCACAGTGTTTCGGCTACAAATAAAATTAGACATAAAAAAAGAAGCAATTCTACACTAATTTAAACAATGTGATCCATAATTAATGGGGCTAAAAGGTATATAATGTTTAAATTTATGGCACACCTTTTTCTCCTATGTGAAATGAGGGCACTGAACTATGGTGTTAAACATTCCGTCTAGTGCTAACAGTCTGAGATTAAATCTGATGGGCAGTAAAACCGATGATAAAATCTACAGTCTTTTCTCATTATTCAAATTGTTTTTGCATTTTTACTTACTCACTAGACTTTATTTGTATACTCAGTTTCTGGACTTGAGGCACTTTGTGGCCGTCTGTGGACATGTACAGAGCAGCAAAATCTCTGCATCACCCAAAGCGCATGTCCCAGCTGAGGTCAGCCAAGGCCATGCTTGGCTTTTTGTTACAGTCTCACACTGTAGGCAAGCCTCCATTTTAGACTTTATGTAGTGCTGTGCTTATCAGTTTTGTGGGGTTTTTTGTTGGTGTTTTTGCTATTTACAAGCCCTCCCTGCCCTCTCTACTAAGCACAGGGCTGAAGTGCTGTGCAATGTTCCTGAGCCCAAGAAGGTTACCAATGTGCCATATAGGAAAACGCATGTGCTAAATTCAGTTCAGGCATGAGTGAGGCTAGAGGCTTTTAGTTCAATGTTAATGAATCAGCAATGGTCAGTAAATAAGATATCTGTAAACAGAAACACATACAATAAGTTTCTGTATTGATCAGCTGACAAAAATGTGACCAGGGACTGGAAGGAATTATCCTCACACTCCCTGAGGTTCAGAAAACGATACCCCAAAGTCTCTCTTTTGACAATCTTCCTTCTTTTCTCCTGCTCCCATTTACCAGCCCAAGGCAGGTAGGAGGACAGAATTTCTCTTCCCTAAGAAGATCACAGTCTAGATTCCCCTTACCCAAAGCCAGTCACAAAGTCTAAAATAAAAATATAAACTCTAACCTTCCCTGTCTTTCTATGTTGGAATTGCCCATGAGCATTTTCTCTCTCCTGCCTCATCTGATAGTTGATCCCACTCCAGATGGGTTCTTGCTCCATTATGGGAGGAGAGAAATTGCACAGAGTAGCAGAGAAGAATTTTC